AAAAGTGACGCAGAAACACAAACCTCGTCTTCCATTCCTCATCTCACCTGCCAGCCCAGGTTTCCGGTGGGTACAGCTGAGTAGCGGGGATGGATTTTCCACTTAGAGGGTTAATGGCGACCAAGGAGAAAAAGGCAGTCTTAGGATCTTTTATTTTTCCTTCTTTCTCTTCGTCTTCTAAAGAGCTTAGAAACTGATGCTGCAGCAGGACAAACAACACTCCCTGTGCACAAACACGCAAAGGACTTATATCACGTAAAGAATGACAGCGTTACAGGGGCATGTTTTTTTTGTTTTTACTGCTTTTACTTACACAGGAGGAATATCCTCTGAGGCAGGCTGTGTGAGAAAAACCCTCTCCAAAGAGGACTCTGCACAGCAGCTGTCCAGTCTTTAGATTCCTACAACAAACAGAAACAACTTAACTGTAACTGGAGCAGCTTCGAGGTAAAGATGAAGCTGCTGCTGAAATCACATTTCTTTCTATCAAAAACAAAACGACAGGATTACGTTTTGTTTTGTGTTATTTAAGCTGTTTTTTTCTGTCTGTAGGGGGCAGCAGAAACAAACAGATGAGTCTTTAAACTTCCTCTTGTCCCATCTGTTGTCAGTTGATGCACTGACTGGTCAGGTGGTCCCGATGGAGCACAAGCCTACTGATGTCATTAGCTCTGTTTGAATAACTGATTCTAACAACATCGGAACCGAACGAAGACGAGAGCAGCCAAAGAGAAACCCGAAACAGAATTCAGCAGTCTTGATCTTTAAATTAGACTTTTTATCATCACATTTATGTTTACCAGACATAAAGGTGTCCGCCCTCATCTGTACCAATGAGAGCATCAGGAAGTCCGTCAACTGGTGCAAGCGCTCCCACGCAAACGCCTGGAGATACCAGAGTCTGAGAGCTTGGTGAGCTGAGAGAAAAAAAGAGAAGTGAGACACGAATCGTGACAACTCTATGTAAGCCTCTGACCCCAAATGCAGATGTAGTTTGTGACTTTGACACAATGAGAGGCGACAGCGGAAAGGAAAACTGTGATGTGTTACCTGTAGTCTGACAGCGTAAACACCTGCAGAGTGGAACCTGTGGCTGAGTGGGACGTGGTCACCACTCTGGACCGGGACACACCAATCACTGCCTGAAGAA